CCCCCCCAAGATATGCTAGACAGACTGGGATCAGGTTAGTTCAACATTTTTTTTCGAGAAGAGTGAATGAAGACCCCCACGGAGCAGTAAGGAGATCGATGTCAATTATTTCCTAGTCGATGTCAACCAAATGGATAACCAGCAGCCAAGCTTGTAAAAAAGAAAAGGAGAGGTATTATAACATGGTAAGACAATGACTTATCTTAGAACTCTAAGTGGCAAAAGGAAAAAAGGACCAAAGGTAAGCCTCATAACAAAAAAAATACATAGCCGTTTAATCCAGATGAAATAACAAAAATATCTAGAACAGATGAAGACATGCGAAAGAGATTGAAGGCAAAGCACAAGAATGTCTTTCAGTCATGCCTGGAAGTTATCAAATGCCCGTTGGGGAATGTTATCATCAAACCGTTGCATTTCATCCCACGGGCCATCTCCAACACCGACCAGAATAATTGAAAGAGGATATTCACTGCATGTAAGCATCTCAAGTCAGGCAGGAGAATGGCACTATAAATCAACTTCCCAGAAAAGGTCACCCGTTTACCTAGCAGCAACAATAGAATTTACAGTAGCCTGTTCTTGAGGGCTAAGGCTTCCAGGTGGAGTGTCAGTGCTCCTTGTCACCTGTATTTTTTTTTTAAATTTAAATTTGGAATAACTAGGGGTGAAGCAAGGTAGAAGTCAAAGGAATCAAATTATTTCCAAGGAGATATGAACCTGTCCATCTGCAACAATGACAAGGACATGGTACTGCCCATTATTTGCTTCCACTATATCTATTGCAGCGTTGACTATTGGGGCAAATGAAGTTGGACCTACATGTTTCACAGATGAGTTGGGACTTAGGATAATCATAAATCCATATATAGCTTTCAAACAGGAGCATCCCATCTCTGACTATTCATTTTCTAGTTATTACTCCTTTAACAGTAACTTCCCTGGCGTACTCGACCCTATTTCGCAAACTCAAAATTCACCACCTCATATTTGAAGATAATAAGAGTGTAGGAAATAAGAGCTAATTTAGCATTTGAGATAAAAAGAGTTAACATAGTATTAAGAATTTATGTACATTGGAAAAGATAAGATCATAATCATCAGTTGTTGCTCGTATACATATAAGAATTGGTTAATGTATATAAAATAGCCGAGTGCCAAAAACACTAAGCACATTAAAATTAAAAAAAAGTTAGTTCCTCCATTTTTTCCCAATCAGATTTTCAACAGTATTTCAACAATGTAAAGAGATACACTAACTATTAATCAGGGGTTCACTAAAACTATTATAACACAGTTTAAACTTAGTCAATGAAGACACACATAAGATGGATGAGATGTCCTTATAATAAGATTATGGAACACCCCCCTAATAGTTTAAGATTCAGAAATGCAGCCAAGCATATCAAATACTGTATACCACATAGATTACCGCTATCCGGCCACTGAATAAAGGAAATTCTGAAAGCAGTATTCAGCTCAAACCTGATAATTTCAGATAAGGAACAATTTCCTTATATCTTGCAAGAGCTTCCTCAAATCCATGGCAAGGGCGATGATCAGGGTAAAAGCTAAACACATGCTGATCGTGTGTGGTTGCTGAAATTTACAGAGACAACAACCCATGGTCAACACTATTCGAAACCATCTTGATTGTCTGTGAACAAAATAAGGATCAGAAACAAAAACTAACCATCACCAAATCCAAAACAAGGTATCAAGTTGTCCTCATCAAAAGGAGACAAAGTTCGCCCAATTATAGAGATGGCTTGCTCGTATGGGTTAGCTGTGTGACCAACTGAGTGAAGGCTTCTTCTGTTGAATGAATGCTTTCCTACAACCTTGAATTGTCAACCATCGCCTCCACAACTTGAGACAAGCACTAAGACTAATAGTATAGTGGAATGAAGTAGTTCACCTGTCCACTCATTGCTTTTGGTGAAATCAATGCCAAGAATCAAGTTTGACGATTCAAGGCCTGATTCTCGCAATGCGGTAATAACCTACGCATAAGAGTATCACTCTTCTGTTATTTATATATTACATTGCTCAAAGACCAGCTATTGCAGTTCATTAGCAAAGTAAGCAGTAAAAATAGAAACTCCACATGAATTGATTCTTTGTTGACTTTTTGCCTAATATAAGTTGACCTGTCAATTCTAAGTTCCTAACTAGAGCAAATGCTCAAACAATGAAACCAATGCTTTCGATGATCATCTTTCAGAATACTAGTTGGATCTGTCAATTCTCAGTTAAGTGAAAAAACGCAAACTTGCGATTTTTTGTTCATTGAATCTGATCTCACCATGTTGTCCACCATGAGGTGTTCTGTGGAACTCTATAAAACTCTGCAAAGAATGATCAAGTAATTAAGAAATTAACCTCATCCAAAGAGTTATAGTTATCAGCTATGTAAGAGGCTTGCTGGTTCCTTTGATAGTTCGCTGTATCTGAACCTCCGGCATGTGATGTAACTTGAGCTCGATAATTAGAATCCATGGAGCTTTCTGCATAAGTAGTAGGTTGATATTGAGGATTGGAGCCAACTTCATTTCTTACATGTTCTGGGCTGTGGTGATAATAATCACTGTGAGCGTCATTTAAGGCAGACTCTTGATTCCCCATTGTGTATGAATATATTCAACAATATTAAGAGCTCTGCAAAGACACTATGATGAGCTATATTATATACCAGTGATTTGAATTGTATTCACAACTCCATACTAATTAGAAGAGCGGGCATATTTATCGGCTGTATTTACTAGAGCCCAGGAAAATATAAGTGTGCAATCAAAAACTCTTTCCATGTAAATGAAACTCATTTTTAGGATTGATATTGATAATCATAAACAGGTTTTTGAAGCTTTGGGTGATAACATAACAGCAATATGCTTCTAAGGAAATAGAAGTTCCAAACACATAGCATTGTGCCTTAATCCAAACTTCTGATCGAGTTCAATATAATTCCATTTGAACATCCCCTTACAACAGACACCATTAAGCATAGTGAACAATCTCTAGCACTCTATCATAGAGCTAATAGCTCGTCGTGAAGACCTGCCACTGGGGTTTGCTATGCCAAAAGCGAGAGAAAAATCATTCCTTTAGCACCACATAAAAATATTCCTCTTAGAGTGGTTCATAAATGTTGGAATCTTGGGTTACTAATTGGTGCGCCTCACAAGTAGAGTCTAAGAAATTCGTGAGTTGATGGATGGTGAGGCTGGAATTCACCAAACCACGTCATAAAAGTAAGTTTGTACACATACACACATATATATATATAGAGAGAGAGAGATGCTGAATTCGTAATTGATGTTTGCATATTCCTCCAGATGCAATCAAGTTACTACTGACCAGATGCAAATAACCATTAAAAGGACCTGCTTTCTATTATTTGACTTCCCATGTACCTAAAGAAACACCAAAGCAGCCTTGTACCAAATTTCTGATCTCAAAAAAAAAAAAAAAAAAAAAAGCAACCAAAGACCGGACAATTCCAGCATTAGATATTCTCATGCTTAAATTGTTCAAGAAAACTTCTATTGGTAATATTAAAGTCAAACTTAACAAAACCTAGCCACCCCCAAACACACAAATGCAACCGCACAGAAATCAAGAACCAGAAATCACCAGTAAAGAAACACGTAAGCCTAGAGAGCAGACCTGAAGGATATCCTGGTTCGAGAAAGAGGAATTTCAGATTCACAGTGAATCTGTTGGCAGCTACTTCTGAGCTTTTTCTGGTACTACTTAATTTAATGTAAGTACTTTCCAAGAGTTGTCAGTAGTCAGAGTTGTCAAGCCGCTTATTAATACTTTAATAGTAGTAAGAATATTATTTTGACTTCCTATATTACTTTTTTTTTTTGGTTGAAAAGATAGCTATATTATAGATAATCAAACTCTTACAGCTGTTAAGGAGATGCATTAGTGGCATCAGATTTATAGTCCGTTTGGTCAAGCTGCAAAAATCAGCTTATTTTGAGAAGTGTTTTTTTTTAAAGTGTTTTTTTCAAAAGTAGCAGTTTGTGTTTGGCTAATTAGTTTGAAAAGCACTTCTGCGCAGCAATTAGTGTTTGGCCAACCTTTAAAAAACTGCTTCTAAGTGTATTTTTCTCAAAAGTGCTTCTCAAAAAAGTGCTTTTGGAGAGAAGCTATTTTTTTCTGCTTCTCCAAAACTGCTTCTGCTTCTCTTCAAAAGCACTTTTTTTCCTTCCAAAAGCTTGGCAAAAAAAGCACTTTTGGCCAAAAAGAAGCTTGGTCAAACAGGCTATTACAAAAGTAGAGTTTGTCACTAAGGCCCCAGTATGGGAACCATTATTATTATCAAAAGTAGAACTAGATAAAACACTACTATGAGTACTAGGTACAGTACTAGTTGAAATACTACTATTACACAAAGCAGACTGTACTTAGTTTTAATCAACCTTCCTCTAAGCATTCCATTTTGATCTTGTTGATATGAAGGTGTGACAAACGGTGGTGGACTTCCAAAAAGTAGACAGCTCTCCTGTGCATGCATGGCTCCATATTTTGCTAAACTATCTGCAACACAGTTTTGCTCCCTGTATATGCTTTGGAGAGGAGGACTATCCAGCTGTAGGAGTAATAACCTGCAATCATTAATTAGATTAGTATATTTCATTGTAGTGGAGTTGAACATACCGAGTATGGCGTGTGCATCTGTCTCAATAATGAGTGGTTTGAGATGCTTTTGGACAGCAATTTTCAGCCCCACGAGCAAGGCTAGAAGTTCTGTCTGAACACTTGTCCCATGTTTTAATGTTCCTGCAAATCCTATAATTCAGTTGCCTTGGTGATTTCGAAAAATACCACCAATACCATGTTTATTCTGATTAAGTGAGCAAGATCCATCAATGTTAAGTTTATAAGTATGGAAGTTTGGGGGATGCCATTTTATATAGAAAGGTATTAGAGAATGGTTTTTTGATATGGGATTTGTTAGATAATAAAATTTCGCAGCCTTTTGTAATAGAAAAGGTATATTTAAAGTGATTTTTTGATGGTCTAGAGTGTTCTTGTTTCGTATGATCCAGAGCTGCCATAATGCAAACGGTATGAGAGTGGTATTTGAAATTTTATGGGGGGTGAATAATAACTGTTGATGTATAATTTGGTATAACCAATTTATATTATCATTATGTGATAGAGATGAATTGGTATGTGTAGATGAGACTTTAAGTATAGTCCAAAGTTGAATGGCAGTAGGACATTCTAGAAAAAGATGTTTTAATGTTTCAGGGGCCATATGACACTGTGGACATATAACTGAATTAATGATGTCTAATCTTGTGAGATAAACAGCTGTTGGAAGTCTATCATGACAAATTAACCATAAGAAGAAGGATATTTTTGGTGGAATATGGAGTTTCCAAATCCACCTATAGTTGTATAGCGGATTTGTTTTGGTAGGATTTATGTAATTTATGATAGAATTGTACATTGATTTTACAGAAAATATACCATTTGGTGTAAGAGCCCAATATATTTGATCATATGTTGAGGGCACAATAAGCATATAAATATCAGTGATTGCGGATTATAAGTGAGTTGGTATTGTGAATGGTAATGTTTCTAAATGCCATTTATGATTATAATAGTAATTTGAAACAGTTTTTGTTTCCTCATATTGTGGAAGGGGTCCATATGTGCAATTACGAACTAAGTAATTCTGGCTGAGCCAAGGATCATTCCAAAATTTTACATGTTGGCCAGTTGTAAGATTCCATTTATACCCTAAACAACAGTAGGACCATCCTCTCATAATATTACGCCAAGTGGAGGAAACCTGTTTTTTGATCAATTGTGGTGGTCGTAAATAACTATGTAATAACACTTGTGCCCATAGTTGATTTGGATTCTGATATAACCTCCATGCAAGACTTGCATGCAAGACTTGATTTTTTGTATTTAGGTTTTGTATTCCTTACCCTCCTTGGTCTAAAGGTTGTGTGATGGTAGACCACTTAATTAAATGTAGTTTTTTCTTCTGTTGAGTTGTCCCCAGAGAAAATTACGTTGGTAGCGATTGCGGTAGGAAAGTGTATAGTTAGGTATTTTAATGTATTGCATAAGGTGATTAGGAAGGTGGTTTAAGGTTGAACGAATTAAAGTTTTCCTTCCTGCTTTTGATAAGATATTTGTTTTCCACCCTGCCAATTTATTTTTGAAATTTTCGATTAAGAATTGGTAATCCCTTTTAGCTGGCTTCGTAATAAATATAGGAAATCCTAAGTATTTTTCAAAACTGTTTTCTTCATTCATGTGGAAGATTTGTAGTATAGTTGATCTTATATTGAGTGAGCAATTTTTGGAGAATTTTTTTTTTGATTTAGCAAAATTGATAGTTTGTCCAAAGTGATATGTAAATTGAGCAATAGTATTAACAATAGATTAACAGGATTTAGCTATAATTTTGGAGGTGAGAATAATATCATCAGTGAAAAATAAATGGGATAACCGAGGACCTTTTTTCCCAATTGAAATTGGTATCCAAGCATGATAATCAACTGCTGTATTTATTTTTCTCGAAAGCATTTCCAAGCATAGAATAAATAGGTAAGGTGATAATGAGTCTCTCTGTCTAATGCCTCTTGTGAGTGTAAAATAGTCTGTAGGGTTGCCGTTAATCAAAATTGAGGTAGTAGCAATTGTTATACATGACATAATTAGTTTAGTAAAAGTGGGAGGGAAATTTAGAGTAATTAATGTATTATGTATAAAAGATCATTCTAATTTGTCAAAAGCTTTTTCAAGATCCAACTTTAGAAACATGTTTAAATTATTACCCTTCATTATTTGAAATTTGGTAATGATTTCCTGTACAATAATAGCATTGTCAGCCGCTCTTTTATTTTTCTGGTAAGCTAGATTTGAGTTGGTATTAAATAACCATAGATATATAAAAATATGTAGAAAGTATAATTTAAAGGATCTTGTAAATTGGAGTACAACTTACTGCTAATTTCAATATATAAATTTAAGTCTAATCTATGTTTTACTTGTCAAATATTGTATCTGGTTTGTGATTTAATATGGCATATATTACAATATGTAAATAAAAAATTAAAGTATATTATATATTATTACTATGAATTATTATAATTTTAAATATAGCATTGTTTTTTAAAGATACTACATAATTCAAATAGGAAAAGATTTAATACCAAAATTTTAATGTATTGTACTTAAATATTAGAAAAATTATTAATTTACACTTTTATCCAATGTAAATTTATTTTTTAAAGAGTAAAATAAGGCGAACGACATTCCGCTAAGAGGCTTCATACTTTTAATATAGTATATAATATATAGATAGATTTTAAAGCCCTAAAAATTAGGACTCTATAAATGTTTCAAAAAATAATAATTAAGAAATAAAAAAAATTTAATTGATTTTAAGGTCCTAAATATTAAAAAAATAATTTAAATTATAATTTTGTCTAATATGAAATCTATTTTTTAAGGCTAAAAAAGGCGAACGGCATGCTAAGGGCCTTCGTGCTTTTAATATAGTATAGATGATAAAGAAAGGTACGAGAATTGGCGGAACCGCAGATGCGGCCAAGGCACCGTAGGTGCGAAAATTACTGGGCAGAAGGGTTCATTTAATACGGGACTTAGGCTATTTCTAACACATTTTCTTTCACTCTTGGGCGATTTGAGAGCTTTTAAGGAGGGGATTTCGATCAAGCTTTCGCAGGTAAGTAATTCCTACCTAATGCGAGTTTAATACATACTTTATGGGTAGATTATAACATGTAAAATTGTGGAATTCATGGGTTAGATGGAAAACCTAGATTTTTGATAAAAATGAGATTTAACCACGAAAATAATTATGGAACTTAGTGAAAATCATATATTTATGTTCCTAAGGTTATGGGTAACAACTTCCTTCGAAAATTTCGGAATCCGCGCACGTGGCCTGGGGGTGAATTTTTGAAACCTTACATTTAAAGGGTTGGGTAATCACTTAAATAGTTAGAATATGAACTTTTGAATATATATTGATTAGTTTATACACTATTTGAATAGTTTTGGATTGTTTGCACCGATTTGAGGACTTGAGCATAATCTTGGACCGGAAAGTAGGCCTCAAGACGAGGTAAGTCTCTTTTCTAACCTTGTAAGAGGGAATTAACCTCATAGGTGAATTAAATGAATATGTGTACCTATTTGTGGGGGCTACGTACGTACGGGGTGACGAGAGTCCGTACGTAGCTACTAATTATGTTATTGTCCTGGTAGTCTAGGACCCGTATCATGCTATACTTGAAATGTTTGCGCCCCTACTTGTTAATATAATTGATTAAGTTATGTTGGAATTTGATAAAGGAATATTAAAAGGCTAAATTCACTTACTTGCAGTTGTAAAAGGGACACTTGACTGTAAATGCGAATTTGTGTTTTTTTTAAAAAATATTTGCTATTTGTGGAGTGGGGCGAACGCCTCAGTAGTAGATAGATGCATCTATTGTTCGTGCCATTCGACCCTCGGCAGTGCACAATTTAAATATTATGTTAGATCGGGCCGTATGACCGCGGCATAATTTGCGCATCATAATTCTGTGGAAACTATTCATAATTCATATTGTTTAAATGTCTTGAAATGCAAGTTGTTAAATGATGAAACTAAACTGGGGATTTAATATTTGTGAAAGAAGAACTTATTATTTCATATTATTGAGCTTTCAGTATTATTCATGAAATCCATGCTTAGTATAAGAATTTTAATATATTATTGTTAGCCCATGGTAAGT